CTACTACTGAGAACAGTCACTCCAGCGGACAATTCAGTAATATTCTGAATTTGAGATTTATGGCGACAGTTTAATATTGCGCTAAAAAGTGGTAAGACAGTTGGCACTGCACTACAACGTTGTGCTAACGCAAGCGATGCATGTTCATGCATCAATAAAGCACTCAACTGAGAATGAGAGTTACGCACAGCGTTTTCGACTGTAGTGTCATTGATATCCAATCGCAACGGCAAAGTGTTGATCAATAATCCAATTGCACTGTCATTATCTTCCCCGGACTGTAAACGACCGAGTAGCACTGTACCAAAGACAACCGACTCATTTCCACTAGTGCATGCTAGTACTTTTGCCCACGCTAAATGGCAAAGGCTAGCCAAACTGACATGGAAATGACGTGCGAGGACTCGCAATCGATTATTGAGAGGTTGTGGCATCTTCAGATATCCTTCATTAAACTCGGTTCCGTCGCCATGAACATCGCTCAGGCCAAACGGCAAGGTCGGTGTATCAATATCACTAAGCATGTCGCTAAAGAATTGAGTGTGCCCAGCTTGACTAACTCCCAGGCGAGCTTGGGCGACTACATGGCGGAATGGTGTGGGCTTTGTCAATTGGTCGCTCTCTCCATTGATTATAGCTCCAACTTCTGCATGCAGTCTCTGCAAAGTAACATGGTCACCAATTATATGATGCAATAACTGCACTCCTATCCAAAGACCTTCCGATGTTGGCGAGACTAACAGACGCAACAGCGGTGCTTGTTTTAGATCTAAACAGTATTGACGCAGATTAAAGCGATTACTTGATTGTTTTAATTCAGGATCATCGATTTCATCCAGTGTGACTTCGGTGAGTATCGAAGGAACTTGGTGCAAAACGACTTGAGCCGGTTCGCTCAGTCCTTCCCAGAAAAAAGAGGTGCGCAGAATGTCATGTCGTTCAATCACCTTTTGCAAGGCAGTGGCATAATTATCAAGTGATACTCGGTCACTAAATTGCAAACGAAGAATTAGCAAGTAAGGATTTCCATGTTGTGCCATTAGATGATGGTACAATATGCCTTCCTGTAATGGTGCTAATGCGTAAATATCTTGAATATTGTTCACACCACCTGGCACCTGTGTGACCATCGTATCAATCTCGGCCTGAGATAGATCGATAAGCGGCAACATGTCCGGAGTAATCATCGTGCTCTTTGTAGTAATCAGATTGGGTGGAATACTGAACGATTGGTGTTTGCCGAGAGTTTCAGCTAGCGCGATTAAAGTTGGAGCATCAAATATTTGCTTGACACTAGTATCTAATCCGGCCTTTCGTAATTGTGCTAGCACTCGTACAATCAGCAAAGAATGTCCACCCAACGCAAAGAAATTATCATTTCGGCTGATTCGCTCAATACCCAACAGTTCACTCCAGATTGCAGCCAGTTTTTCTTCCATTTCACCCCGCGGTTCTTCGTATAGTTGACGAGCAAATGCTTCATCGTCCGGTGCTGGAAGTGCACGTCGGTCTAATTTGCCATTTGGTGTGAGTGGTAATGATGATAGACAAACATATGCTGCTGGTACCATATAATCAGGCAATAGAGATACCAGATATGTACGTAGATTGTTAGCGAGTGATGTATCTGGATCGGCTACTACATATGCGACCAGGCGGGTATCACTATCAATCTCGTACTTCCATGGCAGTACAACCGCCTCGCGCACCAAATGATGTTCCATTAAATGGGACTCAATTTCGCCGGGCTCAGTTCGAAAACCACGGATTTTAACCTGTTGATCAGCGCGTCCGAGATATACTAAATTCCCATCAGGTAGATAGCGTGCCAGATCACCAGTGCGATACATGCGTCCTCTTGTATTTTCACTAAATGGATTGAGAAGAAAACGTTCCGCTGTAAGCTCGGGTTGATTTAGATAACCACGGGCCACACAAGCGCCACCAATATATAATTCCCCTTCAGCTCCCAATGGCACAGGTTCACCATGTGAATCCAGCAAATAGACACAAAGATCTGAGAGTGGACGTCCAATTGAATAAATGTGTTTTGAAGATTCTAATTGCTGATATGTGGCATGCACTGTTGTTTCTGTAATGCCATACATATTGACGAGTTTTGTGTGCACTTTGGAGTATTTTTCAATCCAGTCTCTTGCAAGGAATGGATCTAATTCCTCGCCGCCGAAAATTACATACCGCAGTCGATCAGACAGTGAGCTGTTGCTTTTTGCTTTAATAAACATTTTAAAAGCGGATGGAGTTTGATTGAGAACAGTAATACGATTAATACAAAGCCATTTATAAAATTCATCAGCAGAACGGCTGGTGTTGTAAGATACAATTGCCAGTTGACTTCCATTAAGTAATGCACCCCATATTTCCCATACAGAAAAGTCAAAAGAGAAGGAATGGAACAAACACCATTGGTCTTGTTTATCAAAGTCAAATTGTTTGCGTGTAACTTCGAAGAGTCTTGTAATTTGCTTGTGTTCGATCATCACTCCTTTCGGTGTTCCAGTCGAGCCAGAAGTGTAAATTATATAGGCCAGATGTGATGGAGTAAGTCCGAGTGTGGTCGGGTCAGGATTATCGATTGAAAGACCGCAAGGCAACGCCTCATCCAAATTCACCACTGGCACTTGAACATTTCCAAGTGCTGCCTGACCAGTGGCATCTGCTAATAGATATAGCGGACTGGCGTCATGCAAAATATTTATATGTCGTTGACTTGAAAAGGCTGGATCGAAAGGAACATAAGCACCACCAGCTTTCAAAATGCCTAATATAGCTACGATCATTTTCGTGCTGCGTTTAATGCAAACTGCGACGCGATCATCTGGCCTAACACCTTTGCCAATCAGGTAGTGTGCTAGTTGATTGGACTGTGTATTAAGTTCTTTGTAGCTCAAAGTTTCTCCTTCACATTTGACGGCATTCGTTGAACCGTCACACGCTACTTGGGCTTCAAATAATTGATGAAGACAATGGACAGGTGGATAATTGACAGTCATTCGATTCCAATTATGCAATAGCATGTCACGTTCTTCTGGTGGCATCACAGTCAATCTTCGTACAAATTGCTGTGGTGTGCGTGCCAATGAAAGGGCAAGTGAGAAGAGGGTCTGTTGCATGTAATCACAGATTCGTGTTGCTGATATTGGTGACACCACTTGGGCTGAGAGACTCAAAGAATTGTCATCGTCGTCCACCGATAGAGTTATTGGGTAATTTGTTCGTCCCTCATTACTGAGAATACGTAATCCAGCGGGCAATTCACGATTTGTTTGAGATTTATGGCGATAGTTCAGTAACGCATTAAAAAGTGATAGTTTAGCTGGAACCCCACTACAACGTTGTGCCAATGCAAGCGATGCATGTTCATGCATCATTAAAGCACTCAACCGAGAATGAGAGTTACGCACAGCGTTTTCGACTGTAGTGTCATTGATATCCAATCGTAACGGCAAAGTGTTGATCAATAATCCAATGGCACTGTCATTATCTTCTCCGGACTGTAAACGACCGAGTAGCACTGTACCAAAGACAACCGACTCATTTCCACTAGTGCATGCTAGTACTTTTGCCCACGCTAAATGGCAAAGGCTAGCCAAACTGACATGGAAATGACGTGCGAGGGCTCGCAATCGATTATTGAGTGGTTGTGAGATCTTCAGATATCCTTCATTAAACTCATTTCCGTCGCAATGAACATCGCTCAGGCCAAACGGCAAGGTCGGTGTATCAATATCACTGAGCATGTCGCTAAAGAATTGAGTGTGCTCAGCTTGACTAACTCCCAGACGAGCCTGGGCGACTACATTGCGGAAGGGTATGGGCTTTGCCAACTGGTCACTCTCTCCATCGATTATAGTCCGAATTTCTTCATACAGTCTCTGTAAACTAACATGGTCACCAATTATATGATGCATTAACTGCACTGCTATCCAAATACCTTCCGACGTTAGCGCAGCTACCAAACGCAACAGCGGTGCTTGTTCTAAGTTTAGACGGTAGTGACGTGGATTGAATTGGTCATTTAATTGTTCCAGCACCGGCCCATCTAGCATGATGTCGCTGAGTAACGGTGGAACATGTCGCAAGACGACTTGTGCCGGTGCACTGAGACCTTCCCAGACGAACACTGTGCGTAAAATATCATGTCGTGCAATCACTTTGTCCAAGGCGGACGCATAGCGATCAAGTGCAGCTCGATCATTAAATTGTAAAAGACTTACTGTCAAGTACGGATCGCCATTTTCCGCCATCAAATGATGAAACAATATGCCTTCTTGTAATGGTGCCAATCCATAAATATCTTGAATATTAGCCACACCACCTGGCTCCAGTTCGACTAAACTATCAATCTCTGCCTGAGACAGATCGATAAGTGGCAACATTTCTGGAGTAATAACTGTGCTTTCAACGATAATCTGATTGGGTGGAGTACTAATTGCTATATGATGACTCAGAGTCTCAGCTAGAACAGCTAATGAGGGTGCATCAAATACTTCCCGAACTTTGGTGACCAGTCCACTTTTTTGCAATTGTGACAGCATCCTTACAATTAAAAGAGAATGACCACCAAGCGCGAAGAAGTTATCATGCCGACTAATACGCTCAATACCCAACAGTTCACTCCATATTGAGGCTAGTTTCACTTCCATTACACCTTTCGGAATCTCATACGACTGACGAGCAAAGGCTTCATCGTCTGGAGTAGGCAATGCATGTCGATCTAGTTTTCCATTGGCTGTGAGTGGCAGAGATGATAAACAAACAAAAGCTGCTGGCATCATATAGTCAGGCAGTAAAGTTGCTAGATAAGTGCGTAGGTTTTGAATCATTGATATGTCGGGATCAGCCACTACATAGGCCACTAGTCGAGCATCTGCATCTGGCTTGTTTTTCCACGACAATACTACCGCCTCTCTTACTAGAGGGTGGTCGACTAGGCAGGCTTCGATTTCACCGGGCTCAATTCGGAAACCACGAACTTTTAACTGATGGTCGATGCGTCCCAAAAAGACTAAATTACCATCAGATAAATAGCGTGCCAGATCGCCGGTGCGGTATATACGTGCTTCTGGATCGCCAGTGAATGGATCAGGAAGAAAAAATTCTGCGGTAAGTTCAGGTCGATTGAGGTAGCCACGAGCGACACCAGCGCCACCAATATACAATTCTCCTTCGGCTCCTAATGGCACCGGTTCACCTTGTGAATCCAGCAGGTAAATGCGGGTGTTAGCAATGGGTCGCCCAATCGTTTCAATTACAACATCGCCTGTTTTATATGTATAACAAGTTACGTTATTAGTCTCTGTTGGTCCGTACAGATTGTATAGTTTCATAATTTGAGTTTGCATAAAAATTCGGTTGATTAGGCGTTGGTTTAATGGCTCGCCTACCATTTGGAGAATACGAAGTGAAGAAGGTAAAGTTCCAACATTTAGTATTGCAGTCAGGGCAGAAGGTACTGTATTGAATAAGGATATTTTTGACTCAATTTGTGTAATAGAAAGAGCATCCTCCACGATATGTATCATTTTTCCCACAGACAATGGCGCAAAACATTCGAAAACAGACAAATCAAATCCAATAGAAGTTGAAAATAAGGTATGCTCCAAATCTTCCGTTGTGAACTCTTCTTTACACCAGTTAAGGTAATTTGTGATATTCCTGTGTTCGATCATCACCCCTTTCGGTGTTCCAGTTGTTCCAGAAGTGTAGAGTACAGAGGACAAGTGCGCTGGCGTTAGACCCAGCTTAATCGGATCGGGGTTATCATGAGCAGAAAGTGTGTCAGGCAACGCTTCATCTAAATTGACCATTGGCACTTCATGATCTCCAAGTGCTTTCCGACCAATAGAATCCACCAACAAACACAATGGATTCGCGTTCTGTAGAATATTTTTTAGGCGTTGACTGGAGTAAACTGGATCAAGTGGAACGTAGGCACCGCCGGCTTTTAGAATTCCCAATATAGCTACGAGTAATTTAGAGCTGCGTTTAACACAAAGTGCGATGCGATCATCTGGCTTGACGCTTTGTGCAATTAAGTAATGTGCCAGCCGGTTTGATCGTGCATTGAGTTCAGCATAGCTCAAAGTTTCTTCCGCACATTCCAAGGCAATTGCATCTCTGTCGCGCACAACCTGTGCTTCAAAAATCTCGTGAAGACAACGAAGAGATGGATAATTGACCGTCGTGTCGTTCCAGGTATGCAATAGCATCTTACGTTCTTCCTTTGGCATCACTGTTAATGACCGAATTGGTTGCTGTGGTGTGTAGGTTAATGCATCGGCAAGTGAGACGAGAGCCTGTTGCATGTAGGCACAAATTTTTGTTGCTGATATTGACACTACTTGGACTGTTAAACCCAGTGCATCGCTGTCGTCTTCCACCGAAAGAATTAATGAATAATTTGTTCGATCTTCGCTTTGCAGAAAAGTGACACCAGTAATCGGTGTATTAGTCTGCTCAGTTGCAGTAGTCTGCACTGAAAAGCGGCTGGTTACCTGATACTCCGCTACATCGCTGAGCCAACGCCAGCGATGCATGTTCGTGTACCAGTAAGCTACTCAAACGAGTATGAGTGAGGCGCACAGTGGTCTCTATGGAAGTGTCATCGATATCAAACCGTAAGGGAAGCGTGTTGATATACATGCCCAGGGCGCTGTCGTTGTCTCCTCCACTTTGTGAGCGTCCAAATAATACAGTTCCGAATACCACTGTCTCATTTCGGCTGGCACGAGAAAGTACTTGTGCCCAGGCCAAATGACACAAACTAGCCAAGCTGACCTGTAAATGCCGTGCATGCGTGCGTAATTTATTGTTAAGTTCCTGTGGTAGTTTCAGATACGCTTCATCAACTTCAGTACCATCGCCATGGACATCACTTAGACCAAACGGCAAGGTCGGTGTATCAACGTCGGCAAGCATTTCTTTGAAAAATTTAGGATGTTGATCTTGGTTAACTCCCAAGCGAGCCTGAGCCACCACATGACGGAATGGTTTGGGCGTTGTCAACTGTCCACTATGTCCATTCATAATGGCCTGAACTTCTCCATTCAGTCTTTCAAGAGTTGTGTGGTCACTAATTAAATGATGCATAAGCAACAATGCCGCCCAGTCTCCTTGAGAAGTTGATGTAACCATCAAACGCAATAGCGGTGGTTGTGTTAGGTCTAGTCTAAACTTTCCAATTGGGTTGAAAATGTTACGTAATTGCTCTAGAACAGGTTCATCGCTATCATCCAGTTTGATTTCGGTGAGTATCGAAGGAATCTGGCGCAAGACGACTTGAGCCGGTTCACTGAGTTCTTCCCATATAAAAACTGTGCGTAAAATATCGTGTCGTTCAATCACTTGTTGCATAGCAGCCACATAACATTCAAGTTTCTCTCGGTCACTAAATTTCAAACGAAAAATTAGCAAGTATGGATCGCCTTTTTCAGACATTAAATTATGAAACAATATTCCTTCCTGTAATGGTGCTAACCCGTAAATATCTTGAATATTGGCTATACCACCGGGCACCTGTGTGACCAATGCATCAATCTCTGTCTGAGATAGATCGATAAGCGGCAACATGTCCGGAGTAATCATCGTGCTCTTTGTAGTAATGAGATTGGGTGGGATGCTGACTGCTTTGTGATTTCCGAGAGCTTCTGCCATTGCTGCTAAAGAGGGAGTGTCAAAGAATTCTTGAACAGTAGCATCTAATCCGACTTGTCGCAATAGTGCTAGCATTCGTACAATCATCAGAGAATGACCGCCTAATGCGAAGAAATTATCATGTCGACTGATACATTTAATGCCTAGCAGTTCACGCCAAATTGCTGCTAATTTTTCTTCCATTTTGCCCTGAGGGGCCTCATACGGCTGACGTGCAAATGACTCATCATCCGGATCCGGTAGTGCACGCCTGTCTAACTTGCCATTGGGTGTGAGTGGCAGAGATGATAGACAAACATATGCTGCCGGTACCATATAATTTGGCAATAAGGCTGTTAAGTAATTGCGTAGATTTTGAGCGAGCGCTGTATCTCTTTCAGCCACCACATAGGCAATCAATTGACAATCAGTATAAAGCTTTTTTTTCCAAAGCAAAACAACTGCTTCTTGTACCCGAGGATGTTCCATTAAACGGGCTTCGATTTCACCAGGCTCAATTCGGAAACCATAAATTTTTATCTGATGATCGGTACGTCCCATGTAAACAAGATTTCCATCAGGTAGATAGTGAGCTAGATCCCCAGTGCGGTACATGCGTGCCCCTTCATTCTCACTAAACGGATCGGGAAGAAAACGTTCCGCGGTAAGATCAGGTCGATTCATGTAGCCGCGAGCCACGCCAGCACCACCAATATATATTTCACCCTCGACTCCCAATGGTACCGGCTCACCATGTGCATCTAGCAAATAAACTCGTACGTTGGACATCGGCCGACCGATTGGTATTGAATGGCTGGAAAAGTTAGCCGGACATGACCAGATAGTCGCAATAATTGTAGTTTCAGTGGGACCGTACACATTAAGAACTGTCGTGTGGTTAGAGGTAGTTTGTAGTAATGGCAACGGAGGTGTTTCACCACTCAAAATCAACGACTTTAATCCATTCAAATGGGCTAAATTTTGTGAGTTCCGGAAGAAGGCGGGTGGTAGAGGTGCATGAGTAATATTTTTCTTGCTTAGATAACTAAGCAAGGCTATATCTGTCTGGCGAACTTTTTTGTTTGGCAAACACAGGCAAGCTCCACTTGTTAGGGTCGTTACGATTTCACATATGCTTGTATCAAAAGCACAAGAAGCAAACTGCAACATACGGCTGTTCGCATTTATTTTAAAAACAGAAGTTTGACTATAAACTAAATTAATCACAGATTCATGTTCGATCATCACACCTTTCGGTGTTCCACTTGAACCGGATGTGTAAATAATGTACGCCAGATGGGTTTGGGTTATGCCTAGTTTTATTGGATCTGGGTTATCACTCGGCAGTCCCCCTGGCAACATCTGTTTCAAATTAACCACTGGAATTTGATGATCTCCAAGTGCTGCACGGCCAGAGGCATCTGCCAACAAACACAATGGATTGGCGTCCTGCAAAATATTTGTTAGCCGTTGACTCGAATAAGTTGGGTCGAGCGGCATATAAGCACCTCCAGCTTTTAAAATTCCCAAAAAAGCTACAATCATTTTTGGGTTACGCTCAACGCAAACTGCGATACGATCATCTGGTTTAACACCATTTGCGATCAAGTAATGCGCCAATTGGTTTGCTTGAGCATTGAGTTCGCCATAGTTCAATTTTTCTCCTTCACACTCCACGGCAATTGCCTGTTCATTACGATCCACTTGTGCCTCAAATAATTGATGAAGACAGCGAACAGGTGGAAAATTGACTTTCGTCCTGTTCCAGCTATGCAACAGCATCTCGCGCTCTTCTGGTGGCATCACTATCAATGTCCGTATAGGTTGTTCTGGTGTTCGTGTTAACGTGTCGACCAGCGATGCTAAAGCTTGTTGCATATAACCACAAATTCGTGTCGCTGATATTGGTGACACCACTTGGGCTGTAAGACTCAAAGAATTGTCATCGTCGTCCACCGATAGAGTTATTGGGTAATTTGTTTGACCTCTACTACTGAGAACAGTCACTCCAGCGGACAATTCAGTAATATTCTGAATTTGAGATTTATGGCGACAGTTTAATATTGCGCTAAAAAGTGGTAAGACAGTTGGCACTGCACTACAACGTTGTGCTAACGCAAGCGATGCATGTTCATGCATCAATAAAGCACTCAACTGAGAATGAGAGTTACGCACAGCGTTTTCGACTGTAGTGTCATTGATATCCAATCGCAACGGCAAAGTGTTGATCAATAATCCAATTGCACTGTCATTATCTTCCCCGGACTGTAAACGACCGAGTAGCACTGTACCAAAGACAACCGACTCATTTCCACTAGTGCATGCTAGTACTTTTGCCCACGCTAAATGGCAAAGGCTAGCCAAACTGACATGGAAATGACGTGCGAGGACTCGCAATCGATTATTGAGAGGTTGTGGCATCTTCAGATATCCTTCATTAAACTCGGTTCCGTCGCCATGAACATCGCTCAGGCCAAACGGCAAGGTCGGTGTATCAATATCACTAAGCATGTCGCTAAAGAATTGAGTGTGCCCAGCTTGACTAAC